AAAAAAAAAAAAACACCTCAGGCTGAAACAATAAGATGTGTATAGGACCAAGCGGCCTAGCTCTCGATTGGTCGAGTGCGTAAGTGGTACGCATGACGTTGAGGGTTCGATTCCCCGCAACCCCCTGTGTGGCATACTTCGCGTAACTTCGGGATCACCAACTGAGAAAGTCGGCTTGTCCCTGATGGCTGGTTGTTGAAGTGTTGGTGTCTTGGCGTCTCACTTTCCAGGCCGCGCCAGGGGTTAGGACCTTGGGTGCTGCTTCCCGCACAGAGCGGAATTAGGTAGGTGTAGAGTCTGTCGAGTCTGTGTAGACCCATAACTTGAGGATAGCCGAGGCACAATTAGTACATATTAAGGCTGGTCTCCTGAATAGAGAGAATTTGCTTCCGCACGGAATAGATGTGACCCGTTAGGTACGTAGCTAGGGTGAGGTTGATACAAGATTGAGAGAAGAAAATAGGCCAGCAAAATACAGCTAGTCCCCCATATATGAGGAGAAGACAGCTGTATTTAAAAAAAAAAAAAAAAAAAAAGATAAAAAAAAAAAGCAAAATGTCTGTGTGTGTGTGTTTCACACACACCACTGCCTTTCACAGGTATAACTCGAAACATCCTAAGAAGGCGGTATTCCTACCTGTGTGATTCTTCCGAGTCTCGGCACAATGAGCCTCAGAGGTTGTAGTGGTTTAAACTTTAAACCACTACCGTCTTCCCCCGAACACAACGCAGCCTCATTTTGGCTGTATCTGGCCAGAAATACAACTTGTATACATTCATTTTAAGGGTGCGTTACGTTCCGGGGAAGACGGTAGCTCTTTTGTCGGTTTGGAAAATAACGGGCCACTGAAAGTACTGATCAGAAAACCGCGGCCCCTGCGCAAGGGGAAAAAAACAAAAAGGAGAAAACAGAAAGTCGGGGGATGAGACGCATGGTGGAATAGAAACAAGGAAAATGATGGGGCCGCTGAAATGACAAACCAGGATCTTGTCGGTACGACAATAACAGACGTGCAATAGAAATTTCGGGCAAAGGGAATATATTCAATATATGATTGGATGGGGGGCCGTAGGGATGGTTAAGGTTGTGACAGTCTAGCGTAGGAAAACGACCCGGCTGGACAGGCTGTGTGCCTTAGGGATGGTAAAGGATGCCAAAGGCTTTCAAAGGAAGACGATAGGCTGTATAAGTTTGAGGTAGATTGCTGTAGCATTGCAGTGGGCAGAGGCTAGGCAAGGGTGGATTGACATGCAAACAGTTAATGATTGCCGAGCGGCCTCAGCGACAGCCCTGAACGCCTTCCCCCCCCGCCAGCGCCCCGGGAATTACCCTACTGTGTGACTGGGTGCTGCTTCCGTCTTCCCCCGAACACAACGCACCCTGATTTTCACTGTATCAGGCTGGAAACATACCTTGTATACGTTCATTTTCAGGGTGCGTTATGTTACATTCGGGGGAAGACGGTAGTAAACCTCCCGGCCAGGAGGGCAATCCATCGCGGAGGGACAAAGGTTGGGGGGGGGGGGKGCACAGAAGCTGCCCCCCCTTGCTCAGGCGGCTAGTGCCACAAGGGTTAGGCTGACCCTCCTTCTGTCTTCTTTTCTTCCCCACTGTCTTTGTACAAACATGCTTGTCGGGGATAAGTAACCGGACTGTTGCCCCCCAGAATAGAAGGGCCCTCTGCGTTGGTTGAAAAAGAAAAAAGAAAAGAAAGAAAGTAGGGAAGAATCCATCAGGGCGCTACTTGAGTGCACGAAAAGGCGCAGGTTTTGGCATATGCAGAGGGGAGCCATAGCAAATGAGGGGTCGCGGGGAGGGTAGGTGCTACTGTCTTCACCCGAATAAAACACCCAGTCTGGATAGATCGGTACGCTACGTTACCAGAGTGGTTCGGGACCACTTGCCCGGCGGGGCCGAAAATGGAAAAAAAAAAAAGAAAAAAGGAATGATAATATAATATATTTTAGTAATTTTACTTTATTTTTTATTCTTAATGTGGCGAAGGATTTTGTTTTTTTTGTTGAAAAGGGGGGCCGTACTAATCGTCTGTGCCTGGCACAGAAATGATGTGTCCCTGAAAGATGTCCAATGTATTTTTCTCCACAACGTAGTTTTTTTTTCATATTTTTTTAATTTATTCATTCATTTTAATGCAGGGACCTTCCCTGGCCCTAGTCCGGCCGGTGTACCCGGGCAACCAAGGTGATGCTGCCGGGCCCGGTTGGTAATGTAGGCGGTACAGGGTGGTGGTGAGAATCAAGGCGGCGAAATCTGATTTCATCAGGAACCTCAACAGACCTGTCTTTCCTGGACTCCTTTCATTCTGGAGAGAGGCAAACACATAGATTTTTTTCTTCTTCTTCTTTTTTAATTTTCTTTTTAAAATTTTTGTTAATTTGGGGCATTCCTCTATTTATGCGCGTCAT